CACAGCAATTCCCTGGAATGGAAAGCAACTGGGTCTGAGGCTCGCGCCAACCTGTGGTCTCGGCGGATCGTGCCACTCGCTGATCTGACAGGATCGGCCAACAGTGGACAAGCGGACCCTTCGCCAACCAGAGGACTGATTTCGGACTGGCCTGGGATTGTCTCATCATTTCGGTTAAGCCAGTTCCTGCCATATTTATTTTAATGTTAATTATTAAATAAAATATAATTAAATATATATCTATAATCTGAACCATTTAGGGTTTTCAGACGAACTCATACCAGGTCAAATATTTCTCTTAAAAAATGGTTTGTACTCTAGTAATGTTAATTTTCTTTTTAATTTAATTTGATTTACAAGAACTGGAGTGTCTGCAAGACGTCCTGTTTTCCAAGTAAAACATTTTTCGTGGACTTTTTACCATGATACCTTCAGAATTTAATTCTGAGAAACTATTCATTTACGACCATATAAATCATATATATTCTGATCAGCATCAACAGCTAAGTCGACCTAGCCATGTTGGTAGAAAGAAATTTTGTACCCTTTTTTAAAAATTTTTAAATTGTCAAAAATTGGATAACAATTGCTTTATTTACATTTTAAATGAAGTATGCAGATTTATTAGCCTAATAAAAACTTGCACGGGGCAGCTTTCCGAATTAGAATTTATGATTTTTTGGCTAAGTTATGAGATTTTTAACTTTGATTTGTTGAACAAATTGTCATATAAAATATAAATATATCGACTCAAAAATGGTATTATAGTCTTAGTCAGAAGCTTCTAACGCTGTGAAGTGTCATTTCCGACCCTATAAATATACATATATACTCTTGATCAGCATCAACAGGCGAACCTTTCTAGGCATGTAGGAAAGAAAATAAATTTCGTCAAAATTGTGAAAAATTTACATATTTATTATTTTTTCAAATGGTTATGCAGATTATAACCTATTAAAAACTGGCACAGAATGATTTCCGAATGTAAATATCTGAATTTTGCTTAGTTATGATTAATAAAAGTTCCAACGCCTGCTTATTTTCTTGTTTAGTATAATTTGAACATATAGATTAAGAAAATTCAATTTAAAAATAAAGGCCACCTTATCAAATCTATTGCTGATTTTCCCAGCAATAAATGCATATTGAAATAAATAAATAAAATTAATTAAAATAAATAAATAATAAATAAATAAATCGTTTTTATATATCATCAACTTCCATTATAGTCCAAGTAATATTTATATTTCTTTTAGTAGCACCTTATATTTACTTTCTAAAGCAGCTGAAATGAAAACAAAACTTTTTCTTCATAAATAAATTAGGTATTAAATAACAATTGAAATTAATCAAAACAAAAATTCACCAAGAATAAAAAGATTATAAGAAATAGAAGGTGAAAAGGTTGATTCCCTCGACCAACAAGCAAAAGTAAATCACCAACCAAACCTGAACGGGGATTTCCAAGCTGATAAGGCATCCAAGCGAAGACAGCGATGAGATGAATCTTGTGATTCACTAGAAAAAAGTTCTTCCCCAGAAAGCAGGGTATAAAACGAATCGCCAGCTACCTTGGGACATCAGTCAGCTCGAGCAATCCCAACCAGCAACATGCAGAAAGCAACCATTCTTATCGTAGCCATAGTGGCTCTCACCGCCATCGTTGAGGCAGCTCCACAGACATATCAGCATTTGGTGTATTATCCTCCTCCGCCTCCACCACCACGACCCATTCGTGTACGCCGCCAAGTGTTGGGCGGCTCCTTGAGCTCCAATCCCGCTGGTGGTGCCGACGCTCGCTTGGATCTCACCAAGGGCATTGGTAATCCCAACCACAATGTGGCAGGTCAGCTTTTCGCTGCTGGAAACACGCAATCGGGTCCAGTTACCACTGGTGGTACTTTGGCCTACAATAAGTGAGTATTTCCACCATATTATTCAACATTTTATTGACAATTCTTGACTCGTTTGCAGCCATGGCCATGGTGCCTCTTTGACCAAAACCCATACCCCCGGAGTGAAGGATGTCTTCCAGCAGGAGGCCCATGCGAACCTTTTTAACAATGGCAGGCACAATCTGGACGCCAAGGTCTTCGCCTCGCAGAACAAGCTGGCCAATGGCTTCCAGTTCCAGCGCAACGGAGCTGGTCTGGATTATTCCCACATCAATGGACATGGTGCTAGCATAACCCACAGCAATTTCCCTGGAATTGGAAAGCAACTGGGTGCTGAGGCTCGCGCCAACCTGTGGTCTTCGGCGGATCGTGCCACTCGCTTGGACCTGACAGGATCAGCCAACAAGTGGACAAGCGGACCCTTCGCCAACCAGAGGACTGATTTCGGAGCTGGCCTGGATTGTCTCATCATTTCGGTTAAGGGAGACTCCATGAATACTTGTAATAATTTATTAATAAAGCTAAAACTTTAAAAATTAATTAACTAAAGGTGCATTTTTAATTAGTATTTCAAGAACTTACCATTCAACAAAACTGTTTAAATACTTGATCCAAAACAAGGATTACATTTTATACTTGTTTGTTTACGGTTTCCTGTTTTTTTGATTCCATTTATTATGTTAATTGAATATTTCTGCTTATTATATCGCACTTGCGTAAACAATTCGATCCCACTCAATGATTAATGGATTTTGTTTTACATTTTTATCATAATTGTTTTCTTGTTGTGGTTTCTGCTGGTTTTCTGCAAAAGCCACCATCGGTTTAATTTAGTTTTCACAGAAACAAACTTGTTTTGGCTTGGACTCGGCTTAAGAGTGGTGTTGTAGTTGTTGGAAAATACAAAAGAAAACTAAGAAAGTCTGCTAATTATGCTGATATCATGTGTGAATTGAATAGTGCTTCCTGCGCTCCGCTTACGACAGCTTCTTGGCCTTCTGATAGAGGGTGTCCACCACTTTGCCCATGCTCTGGATAGTTTCCAGCACTCGCTCATAGGTCTTATCGACGGGCGTCTCCTCGAACACAATCAGAACACCCTCACCCTGATCCAGTATACCGCTGAACTTCTTATCCAGAATCATTTGCGACAGTTTCTTTCCACCTGCGGCATGGGCAACTGAATGCTCTCAGCCACATGGGCGACCTACGGTAAGCGAGGGAGAGAGGTTTACTGGCATTACAGAGGAAACAATAATTGTTGCTCACTCACCTGCACACGGGAGTAGGGCTCAATGATGCGGCACAAGTTCTGCTCAAGCATGGTATCGTATAACGTGCCCAAATGTGCCTGAACAATAACATCCTCGGCCAGTTCCTTTTTGTACTCCTTAAGCGCAGTTTGGAAGTCAGCCAAAGAGCGTTTGTGTGAGGCCTCCGCTACCGACTTCATGGCATCCACATCGCGGCCTGAGTAGGTAATTGCCTTTAAGAAAACATTTAAACGATTGCGATGAGATCTTTCAACTCTATTTTCATATCTAACTTACCAGCTTTCCGCTGACAATCTGGTTGACATCGTCCGACTGTCCCAGCATGATCTTGCACAGCAACATGTATTTCAGCGAGGTCAGGGCCTTGACACTGTCCACGCTATCAAAGCCTTCGAAGGCCTCGTAGAAGTAGGAGAACGCTGTTTTGAAATCTCGCTCATCCGCCGCATGCAGGATGCCCGACTGCAGATCGAGAGCACCCTGGACCTTGGGCGGACAGTAGATGGCATTGGCTGTGGTCCGGGCCGATGTGAGGGCGGCCCTTGCCTTGGGCAAGTTGCTCAGTGCGTGGTAGGTTTTGCTCTCGAGCAGCTGGACCTCCACCAGCAGATTCTTATCGTCCAACTTCTTCAGCTCTCGCAACAGCTGTGAGCCGAGGGACAAAGCCTCTGTATACAAAGCCGTGTCGAAATATAAGGCAATCAGACGAGCCTCCAGGGATTGGCGGAGGAAGGTGCGCTTCTCCTGCTTGGCCCATTCAATGCAGTCTTTACACAATTGAACCTGTGGCACAAAGACTTAGTAAAATTCTTTAAGGGAGCGCGAGAAGGACTCACCTCGATGCCGGTGCCTGCGTCCATGTCGAGGAACATGTCCACAAGCGAACGCACCAACTTTGCAGCCTTGGCCTTACTGATCGAGCTCAGGAACGGACGCGTCACCTTGATGAGATCGGCCAGCTCTTTGGCCTTGCCCTCCTGCTTGTAGAGCTCGCCCTGTTGCAGGATGCCCTGCTCCTTAATGCGGATGCGCTCCTCATCGTTCTCGGCGCCCTCCTGGTCTCGCACGATCTTATTCAGCAGCGAGCTGTCCTTCTCCTCGCGATTCACGCTGGACAAAGCCTGGGCACGCTCGAAAAGTGTAGCTCCGGCCATCTTGGGTCTTGGAATTTGGATGCGGATGTGGGGCGGTCAACACACGAACTTGCCAGGGAGTTACGTCTATCAATCAATTATCTATGCGCGTTTCCACTGAACCACTAGCCGTATTTCAATTTTTTCTTTGTTTTCGATTGGGTTTGAGTTGTAATTATTGCGTATTTACGAGATTTATTGCTGACTTTTTCACTTTCGGTCGTTGTTATTAAGCGCCAGTCACGATTAGAGCTGGTGCGCCTTCGATAGGTGTGTCAGGCGGCCATCGATAAACGTTGGAGCCCCTACTAATTTGTGATATCGATGTATCGATAAAGGTGCAACGGGCTTAATCGTGCCTTGCTAACTTAAGTATTTTTTAAGTGTTAAAAAGCTCATGTTTACCTTAATCCCAACTAATAAATAATAATTTTGCTACTAAAACTTAATTGAAATAATGTCTTCTAACTGATCGTAAGGAATAGAAGGAAAACCCAAGAAAGTTTTAAAATTAAAAATAATCTGTAACTAATTTCAACTGAAATAATTCACCACGATTTTAAGATGTTTCGATAGGAAAGTAACTACCACAAATCACGACATTCGACTTGCATATCGATAAGTTATTTCTCCCAGCCCTTGATTCTATCGAGTCTGGTTGTTTTTCTTAAAAAATTCCAAATATTTAAAAAATGTAAATGGGCGAAGAAACAAGCAATTCCACGCAAAATAAAACACGGACAAAGACCACGCGACCTAAGGCGGTTTACCTGTGGACAGTGAGCGATGTGCAAAAGTGGTACCGCCGCCACTGCGGCGAATACACCCAGTACGAGCAGCTCTTGCCCAGGTGAGTGGGGAATCTCCTGGATTCCCTTTACCCTGACTTACCTTTCCTTAGGATTGCCTCTGCTTTGGAGCTTTCGTTCATCCCTGTGCCTCAATATACAATTGGGAAAACACGAACGCTTGCTACATGAATTAAGAACACCAAAAAAGCAACTGCCTACTGATCTGGCTTTGATTGCTTTTTTTCAGCACGACATTACGGGAAGAGCTGCTACGCATCACAGATTCCTCACTGCAGCGAATGGGCGTGTCGGATAACCGGGATCGAGAAGCCATTTGGAGAGAGATTGTTAAGCAACGACTCAAAACGGACATCATGGAAATCCGCGATATGGAGACTCAACATACATTCGTAATTGTGAGCTTTCTTTCTAGTTAAATTTTGTTTTAGATGTTAAATAATTAAAGTATAATATTATAGTTCATATTCAGATTGATCTACAGGCTTAACCAAAACTTTTAATTCAAAATCCAAGACTAGTTCCATGTTTATTTATAGGAGATCCATTTCAGAGTATACTATACTTAAGACCATATTCGTTCATTTCACTGGAATTAATATCAATTCTTTGAGATCACTAAAAGAGCTTGTTTTATATCAATCACTTAAAACAACTTGCACCACTACGGTCTAGCCGTCCTTCTCCTGCTTGGGTGACTAGTTGGACATCACTGTCCACCGGTTTTGTGGCCACGCTGGCTACTAAGCCAGCACCTGATCCTGCTACACACCGCCAGTACTGCTTGTTGTCGTGATGACTTTTGGCAATGAATTGGATGAGTATGTGCGGCATAGAGACGGTGCCATTGGCCATCGGCAGGGCGGTGGTAAAGAGCAATTTCGGTGGCTGAAGACGCTGAGTGGTGGAGGATGGCGAGCCGCAGTGCCGGCTGGTGCAGTAGGCTGGGCAACAAGTTAAACAGACGCTCTCCCATGGACTTCTCCCAATCCAAACGTTCACGCTCCAGGGAGAGGCGATTGTGCTGGATCTCGTTGGCCTCGTTCTGGGCGTTCAGCTGGCGTAGTAGGATTCTCATAGCTGCAGGAGAGAGAGAGACATGCAATGAACTCTGGCTGAATTCTCTTTGTAGGTAAATGTACTCACTTGTCATGTGTCGCTTGGACTGCAGCTCCTCCCTCGCCTTCTCGTGCGCCCTGCGAGTCTCTTCCTTCTCCAGCTGGATGTGCTGTTGGTGTTGTAAATGCTGCTGATGCTTGCTCTTGGGAGGCTCTGTTGGATCTTCTGCTGCTGCTGTTGCTGCACCGCCGCTTGAACTTGAGCCTGAGCCTGGGCGGCTGCCAGTGGCAAAGTGGCGGCTGACTTGCCCACGGCTGCAGCAGCTGCCGCTGCCTTAGCCTGCTCCGCATTGACCAGGACAAACTTGACTCCTGCCGGAGCGGTGGCCATCAGACCGCGTTGCTCGGCTGTGCCGGTGCGGCAGCCGATCCACTGATCATCAGTCGGGCGCCCTGATTGATGGCACTCTGCAGTAACTGCAGCTGAGGAGCCGCCCCTGCCTTGGCGTTGCGATAGGACTGGTCCTCCAGCCACAGCCGGCAGCTTCGATTGCATGAGGAAGTTTGTGGCACCAGTGAGATCTTACCCGCCTGCAGCTTATTGGCAGCCGTTCCGGAACTCTGCGTGACCGTGCAACTGCTGGCCGTGGTGGTGGTAATGCTGGCTGGTATGATGACATTGGCTCCAGTGAAGGGAAGCAGATTTGCGGGCTTATTTCGATGCAACATGTCCGCCAAAGTGGACGAAGAGCTGGAGCTTGGGATTTCTCATTCGGCGAATCGTCGGAGGCATCCACATCGATCGGTTCTTCCTTGGGCACGGGCAGCAGCATACAGTCGTCGTCCTCCTCGGGCTCAGGCTCTGGCTCAGCTGATGCGGCCACAGCAGCCGGCACCTCCACCTCCTGAGCAGGCTCACTCTTAATGCAGGATGAAGCAGAGCTTCGCCGATCGACATCAACTTCAGAGAGCTTGCGGCGCTTTGTTAAAGGATTCATCGTTCATATCGGAGTCGGCCTCCAGACAGCCAGCTTCTAAGTCCCGAGGAGTTGTGTCCTTGTTTTGGACACCAAAGCAGACAGCATCATGTCGTCCTCCTCGTTGTCGCTTTCGGAAAGCTCCTCACCGTTCCAAGCGACGCTTACGACGACTGCGTGCTCCTCTAGAGCTCCAGTTGGTACTTGAGAGAGGGAGCCGGGACTTCGTTGGGCGAACGCTGAAGATGGGTCTAGTCATGATGGCATCCATTTCGGCAAAGTGCTTCCAACTGGGCTCGGAATCGCCAGTTAGCACGCCACACTCCTTGTCCTTCTTCAAACGATTGTAAAGCACTTCAGATTCTTGATACGCGTGGTAATTTCTTCCGGCGAGCGATGGTAACCGTACTCCTGCATCTTGTTGGCTAGCTGGCAGATCACAGCGTGCTTCTTATGCGTGGTGATGTCCGCTGCAGCTTGGGATCGCCCCAGAGCTGAATCAGCAGCTTGGTTTCATCGGTGTCAAAGTTAGGATTGCGTCCCACGAAGCTTTTTGGCGGAGGAGGAGGAGGAGCTTGCGCATGGATTTGGGGTGTTTGTGCGCCTCCTCCATTGCTGCTGCTCGTGTTGTTCGTCGACGTTGGGGTTGACGGCGTGGAGGATGAGGAGGCCCCATTCGCCGCCTGAGCTGGCGTCGGAGCTATAATTGGCTGCCGCCGCTCGGAGCGGCGCTTCTTGATCCGTGCACTCGACTTCAGGCTCATTCCGTGCAGTATCTGGAAATCGGAGAAGCTGAGACGCTGGGGAGCCCGGAGAGAAAATCAATACGTCCAGATACTCGAACGGAGCCACTGCCTCCTGCAACGTCTGCTGGTCAAGTGAAAAATGAGCCAGGCAAACCGCGCAACCGCGGGCAACCGAATGTAAGCACAAGCAATTTCAACCCCTAAACATCGGCTAAAAACAAACCCCTGCCTCCCGCAGGAAAATCGGTGCTAAGCCAAGTGCATTTCCCACCCAACTAAGCAGAACCATGCGCGTTGGCTCACCAGTCAGCTCTCGCGCTCTCGTCCTCTCTCAGGCCGCTAGTTGGCATGCGCCAAGGGAGTTATTGATTACTAACCCTAACCGCACGGTTCTTGTTTAGCTTATTCGAAACCCCTAGGCTTTCCCTTAACATCCAAACGATTCGCAATTGGAAAATCTTCCCCTTTGTCCTGAAATCCTATTAGGGAGACCTGGTCCTGGCCGACGAACTAAGATGCTAACACGAGATCTGCGCATCACACTTTGTAGGTCATGCGCATTTAAAACGCGTGTTCCACTTCAACCCCCATAAGCCCTTAGACGCAACGAAGCAGCAGGCTTTATGGCAACAGCAAATAAATTATAAACTAACTTGTCCAAGAACTTTCCTTTTGAAAACGAAGGGATCACCTGTAAAACAAGGATTCAAAGTAAACTGCGCAAATAACGAAATATTTAAATTTAAAAGGCAACCATTTATCGATTATACTTTCTATCGATATTGACCAAACGATTCTTTTCACAGTTTTTAGTATATACTAGTATTATCTACACTTTCCAAGCTGTCGGTCACACTTCGTCAGCTGTTGCAAATAAAAATCAAGTTTGACACAAAAAAAAAATGGTTGTGTCGAAAGAGGAGCAGGAGTTCATCAAACGCAAGCATGAGCACACCCTGAAGCGCAGCGAGCTCAAGCAGAGCTCCAATCCCTACCGCCATGCCACCGGCGAGGGCGGCACCGTGGTAAGTGGAAGAACCAGCAATCCTCGGCTTGGTTATGTCATCACGCCTGGGATATGTGCTTTTAACTCAGCTTCCGTTTCTTTTTAGTTCGATGCAGGATTGGCCGCTTCCAGGCGATGCGCGTGTCCAACTACGAGCACTTCAAGCCCACGGGCAAGTCCTTCCGCACCGGCCTCTTTGCCGTGGTGCTTCCCATTGCCGTTACGCCTGGCCCTGAAGTCGGAGCGCGATGGACGCGAGGAGAAATACAGAAAGGGCGAAGTTGCCCTACAAGGATCGCAGGTTCAAGTTCATCTAAACGATACATTTAAGTCATCTCCGAGTTATCTTCGATTTGTAGTGGAATTAAACAAAAACAAACCAACCAGCTACGATTAACTTAGTGTAGTTTATTTCTCCTCCATCTGTTTGTCTCGGGCAATCACAAAGTCCTCGAACTTGACCATGTACGTAGTGCCCTTGTGCCAGTGGGCGGTAACCTTGCAGGGCTGCAAAAAAGATGTGTATTA